CTACAGCTCGCCGTATACTGAGCCTAGGGTGACGGGAGGACGCTAGTTTGTGTCCTCCTGTCAGGGGAGGGAGGACGCTAGTTTGTGTCCTCCTGTCAGGAATCCTAAAGTTATAAAGTCAACTGTTAGGAGGAGGTTAACAATGGCAGTCCCAACATTTGTTTTGTGACAGTTTTATAATCTTGTCTACAATCTACTATATATCGTATATATACTGTAAACAGAGATGTATATTAGAGATGCACCGATACCGATATGGGTGCCTATACTGGGCATTTTCATGAATACTCGTAAAAATGCCCCAATACTAGGCACTGATACCTGCACTTGAAATTCTTAAACTGAAGCCCACCACGGACCCCGCACAGCTCACCTGAAAGACAGCACAGCCCACCATAGAGCTCGCACAGCCACCCGAGAGCCCAAACAGCCCACCATAGACTCCGCACAAGCACCTGAGAGCCTGCACAGCACACCATAGAGCCCATAGACTCTGCACAGCCCTCCTGAGACCAGCGCAGCCACCTGAGATCCTTTGCTGGAGACATCAGGCCGGCACCCCGGAGCAGCACAGAGTATGTAGCTTCATATTATTCTGCATTATTGTATATGGTGGGCTGTGTGGGCTCTCAGGAGGGCTCCACGGGGTCTCATATGGGCTCAGCCACCTGAGATCCTCTGCTGGAGACATCAGGCCGGCACCCTGGAGCAGCACAGAGCATGTAGCTTCATATTATTCTGCATTGCTGTATATGGTGGGCTCTCAGGAGGGCTCTGTGGGGTCTCAGATGGGCTCAGCCACCTGAGATCCTCCGCTGGAGAAATCAGGTCGGCACCCAGGAGCAGCACAGAGTATGCATCATCATATTATTCGTCATTGATGTATATGGTGGGCTGTGCGGGCTCTCAGGTGGGCTCTGCGGGGTCTTAGCCACCTGAGAACCTCTGCTGGAGACATCAGGCCGGCACCCCGGAACAGCACAGAGTATGTAGCTTCATATTATTCTGCATTGCATATGTAATGCATCACTGGAATAAGTAGTCCTCTCTAGCTGTGGGTATTATTCTGCATTGCTGTATAATGTATTGCTGGGATTTGTAGTCCTCTATAGCTGGTGGTATTCTGCATGGCTGTATAATGTTTTCCTGAGATTTATAGTCCCTCTACAGCTTGGAGTCAGTGGCAGAACTACCAGGGGTGCAGCATTTGAAGCTGGGACCGTGCCCTGGCGCTCCACCACTGTCCTAAAATCATTAGTCTGTAATGCCAAGAAAAACTGTCACGACACTAAGAAAAAAAAGTATCGGTAATTGGTGTACATAATGTGGCAGCAGGCAGGTGGGGATGTCTGTGTTCAGGTGTACTAATGAAGTTCTTCCTCTAGGGGGAAGTGCTGAGAGGGCTGGAGGCTCGGAGGTAACAAGCCCAGCTGAAGCTAGCTGGCTTGTTAGGGCCTCTACAAGAAGTTCCAGCCTCCTAAGAGAAGAGCCCCACCCTAGAACCAGGCTGTGTGGCTGGTGGACTGGGGAGCAGCAGCCTGTGTGGCAATCCGTCTGTGCGGCAAAGCAGCAGCCTGTGTGGCAATCCGCCTGTGTGGCAAAGCCGCAGCCTGGGTGGCAATCCGCCTGTGGGGCAAAGCAGCAGCCTGTGTGGCAAAGCCGAAGCCTGTGTGGCAATCCGCCTGTGGGGCAAAGGGGCAAGCCCATTGAATACAGCCTGTGTGGCTAGTGGATATTTTGTTTAAGGACCTACCTGAAGTCAGTGAGACGAAAACATTTTTTTTTTTTTAAATGATACTTTGCTTGAAAACCCCTGCGAGGGAACACCTGTATTTGACTTTTCTCTTGAGTTGTGAGTGAATAAAAGTGGGCAGGACACCCTAAAAAGAACTTGTTTATGCGTGGAAGTGTACTGAATGTGGTAGCATTTGAAGCGAATCCTCACAATATATATTCTTATGGTTCTATGCATTTTTTATCATTACCTGAAGTATGTCGCCCGCATTGAAATTCAGTTCATCTGTATTTCTGGCCTCAAATGGGTACAGCGCTTTGTAATTCACAAACACAGAAGATTTTCTGTTCTCTGAGGTTCCTGCAGAGACAGGGCCTAGATTGATAAAAGAAGCCATTACAGAGCCGCCATCCTTTTTATTTCAGAACCGCATGATAAAATAGAAGACATTTTCGAATGGCTCTATTCCTAAACTTAGCGTGCAAATGCTATACTTTAAAACACCGTCAATTTATTCTTTTGTTCTTTTCTTGTTTTTGTTCCGTTAGTTGTTTTGGGCTGTGGTTTCATTGTAAATGTTCACAAATGTACGGAAGAGGAAAAAAACAAAACAAATAAATAATATCTGATTTAAAAAAAACAAAAACACTGTCAACACTGTTACTTCCTTCTCCCTACATTGTTCCAATTTACATGCACCTAATGGAGGATATAGGAGGGCGAGTTAAAAAATTGTCTGCACTCCGGTTATATTAAAACTTCTGTCTTATCAGCGCATTGCGTTCAAGACTACTGTCTCCCCAGTCACTGCTGTCCAGGTGTGAACGTGTGACGTCAGTTCCTTTGTAACTGCGGTGAGAGAAAACACTGGTGATTTGCAGGAAAGAATAGTAGCGTGCAGTGATTATTTTGTGGTCTGATGGTGTACCTGGTGCCGTTATTTATCGAACACATTGTGCGCAGTATGGAGAAAGTGTTTTGTCATGAAGTAGTGTATATGAATGAATAGAGAAGTTCAAGGAAGATGCACAAGTGTTAGCCATAAAGAAAGAGCCGGAGGCTCATCCACGTCCATGGCTGATGACAACATTGGGGGGAATTTATCAAAACTGAAGCAGACAAAATCTGGAGCAGCTGTGCATGGCTACCAAACTGAAGAGAGAAGCTGATTGGTTGTCCTGGAAAATTGCTCCAGTTTTCATAAATCCCCGTTATTGGGCGTACATGTGAAATGATTCTGTCGAACAGACAAGTGACAGTGGATTATATGGCTTTGGTCCCCTGAAAGCAGCCCTACGAGGACGAAGATTCACCTCTGATGAAGAAGTGAAGACAATGGTGCATTCGTAGCTCACAGCTCAGCCTAAAACATTTTTTAATGAGGGAATACGGAAGCTTATGGACAGATGGACAAAATGTTTTGAAAAGCAAGGAGATTATGTCTAAAAATTATGTATTTGTCTTTTCTGAAAGATGATTAAAATAAATTCTACAGCCAGAGTGCGGATAATTTTTGCCTCACCCTCGTATATTTTGACTAATGTTTAATTCAAAGTAGAACTGTAAACCATAATCAACATATGAGGCTGACGTTACTGGGCCACTCATAAGATACTGGGAAAGCCAAGGATCTAAAATCATGTGACAATGCGCTCCTGCACAATGAAGCATCTCCTTATGAGATTTGCAATCCTCCGATTTCCCAGGATCCCTCCATGAAGCCTACCAATGTCACCATCATCTAAAGGAAGTGTCCGGAAGCAAGGGTATAAAGTTAATGTTTTTTTCTTATTTTATGGCTTTCACTTTGCAACTTTTTAATAACAGTGTAGTGGGCTTATAGATAAGGGGATCTCATATTTTCATTTAGCAGATCTCTGAAAAACGAGCACATTTCACCATTTTTGATCCCTGTAAAAACGCAGCAGTGTCACCAGCCCTGCCCCGTTTTTCGTTCCGGACAACAGAACACCTCTCCCTTTCCTCATCTCCATAAGAGGAAGGTGTTGCGAGTCCAACAGGAGAGAACTGGGCAAGGCTGATGGAACTGCTTGGAATTTTCAGTGAAGCACAGGCAATCGAAAGTTAGGATCTCAGTGGATTTCTGGCAGAATCAGTTTTTTTTCTTTAATGTTTTTCTGTACTTGCAAGGAATAAAACATAGGGAAGTGTGCATGTATTGCAGAGATGTACTGAATATGTTTTTTTCCTATTTTTCCCCAAACACTACGATTTAGACATCATACAATGATTATAATGAACCACAACCATGGAGAAAATTGCACCACTCCCCCACTTATGTTAACCACAAAGAAAACATTTAAAGGATTAACAGGTTATCTACCTTTGTTAGTGCTTCCTTGTCTCCCACCAATAGATTTTAGCTTGTCAGCAAACTTCTCATCTATGCTGAGTTTGGAGAATCTCTTCTCTGGCTCTTTGTTGGCAATGCTCTCTTTGCGTCTCCTCTCTTCCTCTTCCGCTTTACTCTTCTCCTCGGCTTCTCTTTTGAGCTCGGCCTGTTTGCGTTTCTCCTCTTCCAGTTTCCTCCTCTGCTCAGCTTCCCTCTGAATCTCAGCCCGCTTCCTCTTCTCTTCCTCCTCTCTCTGCCTTTCCTCTGCCAGCTTCTGTTGTTGGGCTTCCCGTTCCTTAATTCTGGCTGCCTCCTCCTCTGCCCTCTGCTTCTCCAGGAGCAGCTGTTCCTTTCTACGCTCTTCCCCTAGGCGGTTCTGCTTCTCCTCTTCCTCCCTCTTTACTTGCTCCTTCCACAGGTTCTCTTTCTCCTGTTTTGCTCTCCTAAGAGATGACAAATGTATCAAGACTATAAAAATGGAAATGGTAGTATTAAATTCTACTATATGACCAAATGTTTTTAGGCACCTAGTCCTCACACCAATAACTATATTACCAATAGTATTGGGACCCCCCCCCCCCCATATTACACAGTACTGTTAATGCTACAGCATACATTTAAAAAAATTGTGCTCCTCAATCTTTGTGGCATCAGGTTGGGGAAGGCCCTTTTCTTTCCAAAATGGATGAGCCCTTGTGCACAAAGCCAGCTCCATAAAGACATGCTTTGATGAGTTTAGTGTGGAGGAACTTGAGTGGCCTGCAGAGAACCCTGACCTCAAACCTACTGGACACCTTTGGGGTGGTTTGGAAAGCCGTTTGTGGGTCAAGTCTTCTCCTTCACCATCAGTATCTGACTTCATAAATGCTCTTTTGGCTGAATGTGCACAAACACCCACAGACATATTCCAAAATCTTGTGGAAGACTGGAGGCTGTTATTGAGGCAAAGGGTGGGGGTGGAACAACTCCCTGTCGATACCTATGGTTTTGGAATATCCAATAAGCACCTACAAGTGTGATAGTCACAACTTTTGGTCAGCCAGTGGCATCTGCAGGCTGAAGATTTGTTTCTTGTGAATGATGCTCCTGCCTTCATGTGATCACTATGTCTTAGCTAACATAGTGATCACATAATTAGGAGTCACTTTGGTTCCCGTTTGTGGGGACCCTGAGCTGCCAGTGACAGTCCGGTCTGACAGCTAGTATCTGCATACAGTGTCAGCTGCTAGCTGTCACACAGAGAGAACCTAGATGGACTATGGATGTTATTCTACAAATCCCAAAATCAGAATTCTATTTGAATGAAAATTAGGATGACAGAATTCTCATCACCCTTCATTACTGACAGCCGGCCTAAAGCTGACCAAACCCTTCAAACATTTCAGCTTGTTCTTGATGAACACACCAAAATTCATTCAGTAGGTGGCCCTTTTGCCACCCTTCTGTCCAGCATCCTTTGATGAGAAAAACAAAGGAGCCAGTCGGAAAATGTTTGGGTGAACAGTCACGACAGCCAATCAGTTCGCCATTGTTCGGGTATTCTGACAGCGGCACACCCACCACTATGTGAATACGACAGCCCAGCAGGAAAATTCATCCATCCATGCTGTTTAGCGTGGATGGAGGAATCCATTATATATTTTTAGTTGAGGTTGAACAAAAAATATAACAATGTATGGCCAGCACAGAAAATGGAATGGTTAAATCATAGCAACCAATCAGACTCCTTGCCTGATTTTGAAATTGAAAGGCGATTGTGTTACCTTGCCGCCTCATCGTCCTCCTTCTTCTTCTGAGCCATCTCAGCTTTTTTGCGCTCCAGATCCTGCAGTTTTTCTTGCTTGATTTTCTGCAATTGGTGGAGTGCAGTCTGCTGCTTGTTGTAGCTTTCTCTTAATTCCTAATGAAGGGAAAACAAGTCAGCAGGTTTAGAAAGGAAGGGCAGCAATAGGAACCGTCTTACCATAATGGAAGCTGCCTCTTGCAACATGCACTGACATGGCGGCACATGGGCAGGTAACCCCACATAAGCTGTGTGACCAAATAAAATTATGGACTCGACTGAATAAGGACTGGACAGAAGAACCATCTTACAGCAAGCCAACAATAATCCATGTCTACGCAAATGATCAGACAAGATTATTTTTTTTTTATTTTTTTTATACCAGCAAAAAATAAATAAATGCATGGAACGTTCATTCAACATGTTTTTTTCTGAAAGCTAAACGACTAATAAGATTTTTTTTACAGCGGATCCACAGGCCACGGCTAAATAGAGTTGAAGTACGTATATGTGAGATATTTTATCTGTCAAATTGTTTGTAATTTTGGTTAGGTAGCAGAGATTTATACACCTCTTTCACATTGTATAACCAGGTTCAGGTGACCCCACTACTTCCTTATGCAGCTGTGTCACTTACCTGTTCACCGAACAAAGAATGAATAAGAGTGGCGTCACCTGCCTGGCTATGCAGTGATGTAGTGGTGTGTAAAGCACAAGAATGACCAAAAGACCGACCAAATAGAATTTTAAATCCGGTAAAACAGAACACATAAGTTTGTTTTTTTGCATTTAGCTTTTTGCCTGGAGTTCCCCTTTCCATTAAATCTTGGCAATTAATACCGATGTTATTAAATTCATAGGCAGAGGTAACTTTTAGTAAAATTGTTCGTCAGAACAACCAACAGGCCTACAAATAAAAGTAGAAGCCATTTGCAAAATGTAAAGTGTACTACTAAAAACAAACTAGTCTATTGATCCCCCTTCCCTCCACCCTGCATAACTAACTTGCCAGAACAACCACCACCCCAGATTTTTACTGACTTCTGCAGCATAGCCACAATGTTTACTTCACCCCAGAAGACAGAAATTCTCTTTAGAAGAAGCCCCAGCGACTCCATATTAGAAGCAGCTCCAGCATTAGGGATGGCTCCATACAAGTCTATGAGGGCTTTGTGTGGCCCCAGTGTCCAGAAAGGCCTCATACAAGTCCATAAGGGCTCACTGCGACTCCAGCATCCAGGCTGGCCCCATACAAGTCTATAGGAGCTCAGTGAGCCTCCAGGACAGCTCCATACAAGTCTATAAAAGCTCAATGAGGCTCCAGAATGGCCCCATTCAATTCTATAAGAGTTCAGTGAGTTATAGACTATGAGGGACTAAGGCAGCTTCAGTGTGCAGGATGACCCTATACAAGTCTACGAGGGCTTATTGCAACCCAGTGCCCAGGATAACTACATACAAGTCTAAAAAGGGACCTGTGATTCTCCAGCACCTGGGAAGGCCCCATACAAGTCTATGAGGGCTTAGTGCACAGTCCACTCCGAATGGGATTTATGCTTGAGGAGATGTTAACATTACACAGGATGTGGCTCTGCTACAGTGGTAAGAAAGACATTGAGGTGGGGGTGTTAGTGCATGTTAGTTAAGGAAGGCTGGGGGGGTATTTACAAAAGTTTGTTAAAAGTACAGCTGTTCTTAAACATTTGCTTGTAAAGTCACGCTTTACCCAGCCAAGTGCCACCTTCGAAGGGTCCCTATGGACCATTAAGGCTCCCTAGGGCATTGAAAGACCAATAATGAAGTTTGCAAGGTAATGGACAGGCTTGATCTTACCAGAAAAACAGAGAGATACAATTTTAACTCAGTATTGTATATCTCTGCACTTACAGATCATTTTGACCTGCACTTTTCTTAGATGGTAACCACCCACGGTCATGTATTTTTTTTCTTCCTATGTGTAGTACAAATTGCCCAGTTTTGCGACAGAACATGATACATCATCCAAATGTATGTCACTGGTGGTCCTACTTACCCTTCATCTTTCTGCAAAAGGAGATAAGCAAGTCACAAGAATTTTAGAAAGGTCATTAAGTATTGGAAAATGATGAAGGACACTTGAGGTGTTCACATCTCAGAGACCAAATGGTTACTACAACTCACATTCACACAGGATATGAAGAGCGAGAAATGATAGAGTGAAAGGTCAGACAGGTGAGGAGGACATAGAAATTGAATTAACCTTAAGTAAGAGGAAGAGATTGTTGAGACAGCTGAGGAGAGACAAAAGGCACTGCAGAACAGAGTCATCCATATTCTCACACTGCAAGATAAGTCAGACAGAGAAGCCATTAAGTGTAATACCTCTTGGTACAAAAAGGAGGCAATTGAGAACCATGTGAACCGCACATTGGGCTGGGTGGATGGAAATCTGAGAATTCTCTTGTAAGAGAATTAAAAAAAAAGTCACCTGCAATTGCTAACATATGTTTAAAGGAGCAGAGTCCAAGCAT